ATGGTAATCATTGTAATGCAGGCTACAGTCAGGGATGGAGCTGAAAGACCCCTATGCAAAATGGGACTGAGGGTATAACTTGCCTTTCGGTGTGGGGACGGGGGTGCTTTTTGAGCACAGGGGTATGTGATGTGATGTTGGCATGACCACCTACCGTGTAAGTACTGGTGCGGAGTAATATAATGATGTGGCGTAGTCGGTGGCATTCCACCGCAGGTCAGTTAAGGTCATGGCGAAGATTAATGTCATGTCTGTATCCCAGTCTGCACAGGCTTAGTAACTGTCCCTGGTGATAATGAGCAAACAGGTTATCAACTGCGGTACCCAAATGGTAGCTGACTTTGCTGGGCTCCAGGGTTCTTTAAAGTTCTGCGGCATGACACGGCTTGCTTCCGGAGCCTGCAGTGCTGGAATCTAGGGTTGCGAATCATCCGTGTGAGAAGTAATGTTAGGGGTTCTCACACAAACAGCACCGTACGGTCGACACATGTACAATCACGCAAGATAGACTACCGATGCGAGTTCCAGAAGGCAGCAATTCACAAGAATAGGAGGTGTATTGGCCTGCCCTTCAGATTCTCGCTTAAACCTACCATCATTATCATCATCATGGTCAGGGGGAGCGTCACAGGTAAGGGTAATAGAGACATAAGGTTCGGAATATTTACAGTTGGTAGTAGCCCCGCGACCATATACGCATCTTGATAGGAGGTTCGAGCGAGAATCCAAGACGTGAGGCTAAGAAAAGCCCCTGTTCCGAACATTTCAAAGAAGTCATTGCCACAATTGTAGGCGACTATTCGCTTGTTTCAAGTAATACACTTACATGTGGCGATTTCAGTTAACACGAGCCAGCAGTGTAACTGAGCAAGAAGAGCAGGCAGTGAAAAAACTCCTAAGGCATGGCTCATAATTCAAAATGGAATGTCATTTGTGGGTTTTAGGGAGAAAAACTGTCGCTCGTGGAGGAAGTATGTGAAAGCTAGGACCAGGATGCTGTTGTGAATGTTGGCGGCATAGAAGAAGGCTGGTTATGAGGACATGGTTTGGTTGAGCAGACTAGGGGAGGGGCAGGGAGACAAACAGAGCCGCTAAGTGATTGTAGGCCACGCCAGCTGGGGAGCTTGTATGAAGTTCTTTTGTGCACACAACGCCGGCTTCATAAACCTGATAGCAGTCGCTTCCGCTATTGCCAGCAGACGCTGACCTAGGAGCTCTTGGTGGTTCGGTAGAACCTTGTAGATCTCTTGGAAGACTTCGTTATGGTACACCCGATATCCAGAATCAACCATTTGCACCAGAGTTGATCTGTTTATGCTTCTGACTTCACCTTTTTTCAACCATACCGCGAGGTGTTCCTTTATTCCTCTGGATAGGCGTCGACTCGCGCTCACCAAACTAGTCTTCTCAAGTTTTTTGATGGGAATTCTTGGAACTTGCGTATAAGTGTTAGACTTCACAGAAGAAGTCGCGAGGCGTGGGGGTTAACGCATGCTTCATAGAATGTTGGACAGAGTACAGCGCGATTTATGCATGAATTAGATTATCATGGTAGCAGACTTGCAGCACATCTATCGCTTTCCCTCTTTCCTTCATTAACGCTCCTGTGCTCGGTGGCCGGACTGTCTGCTGTCAAATACTTCAGTCAGTGCACCATATACTGGAAGAGGTTAAATTGCTGTTAGTTTATATGAAGTATTTCCAAAAAAATGAATAAAAACTGTAAAGTACTTTGTTCCCGTTATGAAGTAGATACCATTCGATCACTAAGAAGTGAATCTTAACTTGCCTGGTAGGCCCCAGTTCCGTTGATTTGTACAACCCCAGTTCTGCCCGTCAGCGTTTCGTCCTTCTTCCT